GCATGAAGAAAACTAATTTCTTTTCTCTTATGTTTCACTTAAAAAGATAGGGGGAGGCTTCCATAAAGGGTGTTAAGTGAGACATGGTACTAACTTTTTGGAATTTGTTTGTTCACAATTACAAAGGATTGTAGAAATGCGTGTTGGATAACAAAGACCAAGTTGGAAGGAGATAGCAAAATTATTTCAAAACCTTTCCTAAGATATATAGCAGTTTCTGCACAATTTAAACTGCTATTCTTAAGCGTGGGCAGCTTTAAAATTTAGGTCTAAAATGTGTGAATTGCCCTCTTTATTTCAATTGTATGATTAACTCTGGAGAGCATTTATGCCAATTCAACTTTGCTATGTTTGGGATCTGCTTGTATGCTGATTTTCAGTATTGCACCTCTGCTATTTTCAATCCTACAGAGAAAGGAAGTGTAAACACTGCAATAAAGAAATTCATGCCTACTCAATCTGAGATCCCACTGTCAGTCTCTGAACATTTTCTATCATTGTTCAGGATGCTACTTTTGTTGGGGGGAGGGCACTGAGCTGTTATTCACTGTGTTAATTGATGCTTAATACAAAAATACAATTCTGCAGATACCTTTATTGCATTATGCCAACAGTTCAGTTAGTATAATTGCACACAAAGAGCAACCAAATGTAATTTTCTTTTACTTAATACTCGCTCCGCTGTTCCTTTCAGCTCCTTCATCTGATTAACTAATGTGACTCAGAGTTCTTCCGAGAAACAGCCATGTAAGTACTCGTAAGAGGACTCTCCCTGATGCAAAAGACAAAATCTGTGCAACCACTAAGTGTTGTGAGGAAGAGACCGGAGCTGAAGGAAAACAATAATCCAGTCTGGATGAGAAAATGATTTGATGACAGTTTCCATGAAAGAAACCATGGTCACACAATGGCTGGTGGAGATGCAGATGAGATGGGACAAAACAATGCAAGATTTGAGGGGAAAAAAGGTTAAACTTTTTGTACATTTCACAACACACCATTTTTGTGCTGTATGCCCTGACACGAGTAAGTTGTCAGTGGGACAGATGAGAAGCTGAAACATCAAAAGAGAGGCTACCCTCATGGTATTTACAGCCTACTCAGAAGCACCAGAAATCTTTAATTAAAGCTTGATTGCTCTATGTCTTGTTATCTCCTTTTGCCTACTGAGAATCCTATTTTGTCTCCTCCAGTTTCCATGATAGTAATTTGTTTACCTAGAGTTTCTCATTATTGCTCACTGTATCTTTATATGCCTGAATTTCCCATATTCTGGCTTTGTCTATAAAAGGAAATTGCATTGGTTTGATATAAATTGGCTTTTTAATTGGTAGTTAAACTCCCCGAACAGAAATGCTATGGTTTGAGCAGCTTTCAGTTTTACTTAAACTAATAGCTAATCAATTTAAAAACGAAGCCAAAGTAAGCTTGGTTTACATCAAAATAAACAGTGCACAGATTTAGCCATTTCAATCAAAAATCCTAGTTCCACTGAAGTTGTTTCAATCTTCTGGTATACGCAGGTTTTCTTACAACTTTTTTGCAGGCTTCTTTTAGAATCAAGTTTCACCTGCAACCTTTCAGCAAGAAGCTGGCATGTCAGCAAGTAACACGTCATTAATTAATTGAAAAGGAAAACATTTGCATTGCTTGGTGATCATCTGCCTAATGGCCACCTTGCACTGCAAGTAACTGCGTGACTTGAAACCTACAGGAATTTTTCTGTGTTGGTCCTGGTCATCATCAAGAAATGAGAGAGAGTAACACCACCACAGTAGTTGTAGCAATTTTGGCTCTTATTCTTTACACAGCGCATTCGTCATCCCATGTGTGACACATGACAGTGGGAAGCTTTAGGATTTTTCACAGCGTTATGTGTTTTGAACCTTTGGTGTACATGTTGTGGAAGCATGCCAAGCCACGATAAGCAATAGCAAGGCTGAAGAAGTAATTCACTGGGTACAGGGCCTGAGAACAGAGAGGACAGGGAGGTTGGTGGTGATGACTATTGCTTCTCCTGAAAATGGATTTCCAAGCACAGGCAAAACCAGCAGGTGCATGTAAGAGGTTGTTCTCAGTTACAAAGGAGCAAATCGAGGCCCATACCCTTGAAAGCAATGGAGCTTCTTTGGATTTACTGCCATGTAAACAAAGTGGTACCTGTCTTTCAGATTGTACTTCCTGCTGTGTAGGCTGAGCTGGCTTGGGGACTTGGGGACGGCATTTTATTATCCTGTTGTCTCCTCAGCTATAGGAACACAGTTCTTTGTTTTAATATGATTTCTTAAGAAGGAAATATTATAGACTGTGATCCATCACACAAGCCAAAGATCACATTAGCTGTAATTACTTTTGGCTGAGCTCATATTGGTCAATGCAGTCTTTGGGACTTCAGGATGGCGCTGATGCTGTTGGTTCACTTGCACAACAGTAAATACATGGCCATCAAAGTAAAGGCCTTGACAGACTCAGCCTGAGGTTTCTTAAATGCATTACAGGATGCAGAAAGAAACAAGATTAAAGCTGGGTAAAATGCATAGCCCAGGGACCAAACAAGCATCTGCACTGTTTACTGAGAGCAGGGACTCAGCAACACAAAGGAAAAAGGTGATTCAGTGCTGTGGTGACCCTCAGAAATGCAATGATTTCCCACTGCAAAAAGCTTCCCACTGCTAAGCTGCAGCTTAGCCTCTCTGATTTCTGCCCTGTGTATACCGAGGGCTCAAAGGGGAGAAAATTGCTGTAGGAATGATTTCAAACTTCAGGGGCTGGAGACAATTTTAGACAGAACACGAACAGGACCGAGGATCAAGGAACAGGACCCAGAAATTAGGCAAGCTGGCTTAGATACCACAGGAATTCCCTTGAATTTTCACCCCAAGGTCATAACAAGTTATTTGAGTTGCTCAAAGTACCTCGGTGACCTTCTCTTCTACCCCCAAGCAATCTGACTCCCATTATTTCTACTATCTAAGCATTTCTTTAAATTGCATTCCTCAGACAGGACGGGGAGCAGAAGATCTAGAAGATGTTCCATCATTTCAGATCTAGTAAGAAGTAGGAAGTAATAAAATTCTCAAAGAAACCTACAGCCACAAGATTTCTAGCCTAACACCCACACACCCACCTTACATTACATTAACTTTGCATCCAAACTTCTGGCCATTCTCCAATCTGAAACTGATACCTGATGGCTTTTATGTTACTAAAACAGTAGGTACCTTGGAAGGAAACGTACAGCTGCCTTAGGGAACTACATCACCACCTAAGCCTTGACATTGCTATGGAAAGTCAGCCAGAAGTCCATAATCTACACCTGTGTACGGATCCTACCACAATATCACTGACCTAAGAGCAATGCTGAAAGCACTTAAAAGTAAAAGGTGGCTCCACTTACAGGCAGGAAACGGAGATACAGATATTGAAGGGAATACTTCAAAGGATCTGCAAAGAGGACGTAAGGATCTTTTTGGAAATTATACCTTTGTGACCAGCCCAAGCTCACACACGACATCTGTAATAGAGCTAGACACAATCTTTATAGCAAAAGCACAGGTCCACCCAGCCCAGCATCCTCTCATATGGGCTCACTCCCCGTCTCATTCTCCTGAGACTCCTGTCAGTGCTCCTGCACTTTTCTTGCTGTATGATGCTGAGTACATAAAATATCAATAAGGTCCACTTGATGGCAACTCGGCCTACACTGCAGACTCTATCATCAGCCTCCACTGCCAGAGCTCGCTTCACAAGGGAGTTCAGGTACCAGCAGCTGCCCTGCTGCGGCAGCACGGAGTGGGCTAATACATCCAGCTTTACAGGCAGGCTTTGAAGACCATGTGGAGCTTTTGACCACACTGACCAGACTGCTGTTGGTATCAGAGCTAACACCACTAGTTCATGTATTTCAACAGTACACTGCAGGTAGCAAAGTGAAACATAACCTAGAATAGAACAGACTCAAAGAAGTCTTTCTAAGATGGAGGAGTGGGAGAGAAGGAGGCAGCAGGAACAAATCCCTAGGCTTACTGACAAAGTAAAGGAGGCATACACCAACCACACCCCTGTTCTCTACCTTAAGACGGGTGGTATTTCAACTTGGCAGCTAACTAGCTAGCCCTAAGTGAGGAGAAACAGCTGCACACAGTGCTGAGGGTGGCATCTCTCCTGTAGTCACCCCTCATTTCCATGGTCAGCCCTGCTCCCCCAGGTAGGCTGGAGGTTGTGGCCATCTGAATCAGATCAGAAAGAGAAGCTGGCAAGGAAGAGGAAAGGAAGCAGACTGAAATAGAAATGCACATGTAGAGCCCAAAACAGATATTGTGAATGTGTGGGCAAGCCTGGGAGAGGGAAGAGACAAATATTTGGGAGACAGTGATGTGAGGGGGAAGGAATGGAAATCTTGCATCTATTTGGCACACGCCGCTACAGTTAAGCTGGAAAGGGGAGCTGAGGGACAAGGGAGAATGAAATAACATTGACCATACAAGACTGACATTTCTAATTAATTAAAAATCATGTTTTTAAAATGAAGTCCAATGCTGTCTTCTTTCAAATGGGCAATTAAAATATTACTGAAAAAGTGAAGCTATGTTATTTCAAACCAAGCCTATATTAACTAGAGATGGGTGTTCAGTTACCACATGCTGGACTCAGTCAATTTGGACACTTTGCCTTGATTCCTGCCTATTTTTACATGACCACGACACTAAACAAACCTATCTTACAGTTTAAAGGCACTTTTTACTTCAAGAAGAGGCTCCCTCTGGTTCTTTCTTTCACCAGCTTGCAATCAAAATCCAAGTTACAGTTAACAGCTAAAGGTAATTGCTTTCTTAGAGCTTGTTTTGTTTTGTTTGCAAGGGACTTGAGAACAGCTCTGAACAAAGGCTTTGGTAAAAAAAAAAAAAAGGAATCATATTGCATTTAGCCACATCTAACTGAAATCTGTACTAGCTGGAAATCTCTGCTGTCTAAAAATGCTTCTCAGACCAGACAATTACCTGCTGGACCAGAAATGGGGGCAGTGTGGAGTTGGAGATTTCCCAGAAGCTTTTGTTCCCATCCGAACTTCTTCTGGCCACCTCTACTGGTGAGCAAATTGCTCGAGTCTGGTGTGGTACCTCGAGGTATCTTCTCTCCACTTACTAGAAAACAAGAAGTCACAGATTGGTTTATCACTAAGGGTGGCTAAGCCAGTATGTAGTCCAAAACTGAAGCTAAATTAAGGGCTGGAGGCTTATTGGCTGAGAATAAGAGCCTGCAGTCACAGGATATAGCACTATTAAAAGGAAAGGGCAGACTGACTTTCCATTGCTGTTATGGGAACTGTGACAAAAGAAAAATAAACAGGAATGAGTGGTGAGCAAAACAGCAAGTGAATGAAGATACAAAGCAGAAATACAGAATACAATCTTTAGCAACTGTTAGAAAGTTTCTCTTTTAGCCAGTAAAAGTATGTGCAATCTTTTTTAATTACAGCATAATTTTAAGATCTCTTTAGAATACTGGAACCTGAGGTACATTGTATTTATGCACAGAAACCAAGGAGTATGACTGCATAAACGGAAAGACTCGCAGTCCCAGCCAATGCAAATTAACATAGCACAAAGCCGATGAAATATTCGGACTGCTGTTGGATCAGGAAGTGGCTTAGAGGTTGTCAATCTGAACATGCTACAGAGGTTGTAGCTTCAAGCCTAGAGGAAAGAACACACTTAAGTTCTACTGCTCAACCCAAGATAGAAGTTTCATGTGTTCAGAGCAGCAATGCTTCAATCCTCATGTAAGTTGTTGGTCTGAGGTATAGAGTGACAGATCATTGAACACATTTACAAATTAAGCAATTCACTATGCATGAGATTGTGAAAGGTGAGCCAGACACAAATGTTCAATAAAAATCTAAATGGGATGAAATCTGGCAGCAGAGGTATAGACTGGGCATATTCTAGAGGCCAGTCAATCACAAAGTCTGGATCAGAATCCAAATTTTTCCCAAGAGTAGGACAGAGTGAAGATCCTGGTTTCTGATTCGGACTTAAAATGCATGTCAGTCCAGATAAAATAACCTTGTTCTAATTTAACTGGAGTATTGTGTCCAATGTTATTGCAAAGTTAGTGTCTTTTCCCTAGCCAGAGTCCAACTGTCATTCATTTTGATAACTGTCACACAGCAAATCAGGTCATGTGGAACTCTATAATCACAGATTGGTTTCTGCATCAGCCTGGGTGGATAGGTGATGCTACTGTCTCAGCTGGAAGCTGACTCTCCCACACCATAATGTCTTACTACCCATTTACTGCCAAACTCGGAACTCCAAACGTCGGCTCCACTAATAAGGTATGCATCTGAACGGTCTCCTCCATCTAAGCACAGTTATTTCTGAAACATACCTTTACATTTCAAGAGTCCTTTGAAGATAACAACACCCAATCCCTTCCCCACAGTTTCAACCCCTTTCCAAATTTCAATTACGTGGCAAATAAAAGACAAGTCACTTGCAGATAAAAGGAAAACTTACTTGTTAAATAACAGTCCAGACTAAGGGAGACATTGTCAAAAGCAATAATGGCATCAGATCCTTCTTCCCATGAAGCGATGATCTGAAACCAAAACCTGTACAGATTGGAAGAACAGGGATTAAATTCTGTTAAAGAGATGAAACTCAGAGCTCTTCGCAATTAAAGCAGTTTTAGAATGGGGGAATAAAGCTTTTCTTTTCACATATAAAAATACTAAATTGACAGAGAAAGTATCCTCGCCCCTAACAAGCAAAGATGATCTGAGGAGGGGAACTGTACGTGAATATAGGTAGCCAGAAAAAATAATATAGCACCTCTTCCCTCCAGAGGCGTACAACCTGAAGCAGGTGCAAGTATGTGTGTGTGGGGGGGTGTCAGGACAGAAGATAAAGTCCCCTGGTTTCTGGCACAAGAAAAATGAGACACCTAAGTGATTTTATTCTCACAAATGATTTACACCCTAAAGTGTTAAGAAAAATAAGTAGGCTGGGGCTCCTGAAGTCATTTGGAGTTTCTAAAAGGAACTGGCAATCAAAGGCTGAAACCAATTTAGAAAGTATTTGGTGTTGATCCACCCTCTAGGAGGCAAAGGATATCTAACAGTTCTGGCAGTCACAAAAGAGAGGAACTGACACCGGGTAGTCCATAGGAGGAGCAGAACTCATTATCTCCTTGTAGAAGCTGAGCAGATTTGCCTTAAATCACTTCCACACTCTCAGCTGGCTTTCACCAGGAAGTTCTGCCTCTCCTACATTACCAGAAGAAAGATCACCTGTAAATTCACCCTCAGTGATACTACAGGTCAACAGAAAGAGCAAAAACAACCCACAATCAAATACTTCAAATCTTATAGTATACTGACCACGTGTTAATTTAGTGCACTCATGGATTTAGATTTTCTCTTAGCTTAGCAAGTTCATGTCCTCCCGATGCATATCTGCCACATAAAATCATAATACTCTGCTTAGGAAGGAGAACAATTTCTAAAAGCAGCCGACCATGGCCCAGAAGTGAGATACAATGCTGAGAGGTTGCATCAAGACTATAAAAACACGAAACTATCATATGCTGTAGAACAAGCTGCAAAAGAATATGAAATAATATTTAAACCTCATTCTCTGTTGTATCTTGATGTCTTACAGCAGCAGAAGTTAAGCCATTCATGGGTCTCTCTCATGGACCTATGGCTGATGATTCCTGCTCTCTCTTTCAGATATAAGTGTTCAGCCAGAATGTGAATTCTTGCAGGTGTTCCAGTTTAGACAAAAAACTGATGACAGAACAAGGTATTTTTGAGGAGCAGTCCTATTTATTTAGAAAGGCTGTAGAAATCATGTCCCTTCACTGCAGCAAGAATCTAAACACCAGCAGAATTTTTTCTTCTCACAGACTCTAGTCCTTTATGCATGGTACTGGGTCAAAAATATTTTCTCTCAGCTTTTTGTCTGGTATCAATATTCTTACATTAATCTTCTTGTCTCCTACTATTTTTTAAAAATCTACCCCTCCTTTACCAACAAGCCAATATCACAAAACAAAATTCAAGTGAAGCTTCTCTGCTCATATGTACATTTACTTTGGGACAGCATGTTCCTGTGTTTTGAATGAGGGATTTGACTGTTTCAGCTACCTGACTCTGTCAACAAACATAACCAACTTCCATGTTGTTCTCAAATATAGTGCAGCTTTCACCACCAGTGATGACAGTGAGGCATAAGCTAAAACAGACCCTAGGGATATATGTGCCTTTTGAGAGTATATAGATTGAAGTGTCGTCTTTTTCTGCAACTGGTGTTCTTGCTAAGCTACAGATGGGGACACAGTCAGAAAAGCTGATCCAACCAAAGCAAAAACTTCAAACAGAAAAAGATCCTGGGAGTCCCTGAAAGGTGCAAAGGGTTTAGAACAGAACACAGTCTGTTCACAACAGAAAAGAGTTGATATAGTTACCACGTTCCTCCTTCTTTACTTCTGGTAAAGTAAAACTATGATGCTTCAATACTGAAATTTCTTGCTCCTTGGAGATATGCATTGGACACATGCAGAGACTTTTCTAATATGGACTTTTTATGTTCTAAAGATATGGGCAGCTGCTATGAAAAAGCAGGTGATTGACACAAAGAACAGTAGATATGGTGAAGGAGGGGTATCCCTAGCATCAAAGGAAACTCCAAACAGCAAGACATAATTTTCCTTGCTAAATGATCCATCTTGATCAGCTGAAAAGGTAGCAGCTCCATCCAAACAAATCTGAAGATCACAAAAGTGTATTTTTTGCCTTCCCAATCCATACAAAATGCAACTGCAGTCTGACATTGCCAGAAGCCTCACCGTTCTTAGTTGGTATACCTGAAACACATTGTAGGTATGTCTAGCAGGAGAACTGGAAGGAACATAAAGTCCTTGCATGTTAAACTGGCTTCCAAGTACATCGGCTGTTCTCCCCCTGCCTCCTCCCGCCGTTGGCTCCACAGCTGACATCCCACAACACTTCAAATGAAATTACAAGCTCTAGCATAAACATAAGCTGTTTAGTTCAAGACATGCCATATGAGTCTTAAACAAAAGCTGTTGGACAGACAAAGTGGGCTCTGATCTCCTTTTTTCTGTTAGTTACTGTGCCAGCAGCAGAGATGACTGAACCTTATGTGAAACGGGTCCTGAACCGCCACAGGTCACAGTCTGGTATGTTATGGAGAACCAGGACCTATCTACAGGCCATAGCTCAGCAGAAGCTTCTCCCTCCCTGCTGTGTGCTGCTGAAACCTCCAGGAAGAGGTAAGGTGGAAATGGATTCAGCTACACGTCTTTCAGTTGGCTGTGCCTGAAAAATCAATGCCCTGCACACAGTGAACCTTGGTGCTACATTGAAGGGACCACTGAAACTGAGTCTCTGAAGCATTTGATCTTTGGCCTGTTTCCTGGGCGTGCACACTAAATGTCACTTAGAGTTGTGGACATTTTGATGTGTACTTACGTTTGTAAGGTGCTAAACTGAGGCTGGGAAATGAATTACAAAACCAAAAAAGCAGATCTTAGACATGGTCCTCCATGTCAGCTTTTTCCTCCACTTCTGCAGAGTTTAGCTCAGGTTGCATAAAAGAAGAGACAGAAACTTCTGCAAAGACTACTATGCACCTTTTTTGTACCTGGCAATTAAATACTTCTGAAAATAGCTTTAGGCAATCTCCTTGGCAGAACCTAAGCTTCATGCCCCAAGGTGTTATCCTTTTATGCACTGGTTCATGTCATGCCTCTTCAGACAATGAAGGGTTGTTCTTATGAGAATTATCAAATTTCAGCCCCTAAGAACAGAAAGGCGTGATACAAACCAGTATTTCTGTCATTGAAGGGAGTGCCATCTAACACGCCCATATAAGAAAGCAATACGTTGCGTTTTACTTTTATTTACAGTTAATTCAATTTAAGAGACAGCCTTGCTGATTTCACCTGCAGGAGCACTGGGACCAGAACACTTGAGAAGTTTCCTGAAGTTCACCAGGGATAAAAAAAAATTACAGAAATGCCTCCAAAAGAGAAAAATCATGTCAATGTCAAACACTTTTAGGACCATCAGTGCTGCTCTGGTTGTATATCCATCTGTTTTTTTTTCTAACATGAATGCAGTTTCAGTACAAATCTTCTCTTGAGACCAGCATTTCTGCAACAAATAGTTCATCTTTCTCTCTTCTCCAGTTTAATGCCACTATTAATTTAGAAATATGATGTCTTTCAGATCCCATTGAAACAAGATCATCAGTTAACCACCATTTCAATCATTAGCTTTGGTGGTTTTAGCTTAATGGGCTAATTAAGGGAAATTTAATCAAAACTCAAGATGGAAATGTCACACATCAGTGAGACGGAAAAAACCCCACAGACAATCTCGTTCCCTTTCCCCCTCCTTTTTTTTCTTTCTGTTTGATCCCTGAAATCAATGAAACAACTCCCTTTGACTTTGGTGAAAGCTGATACTGAAACACCAGAAGCATATGTTATTGCAGTGACTCAGTTGCTGGAGGTGACAATGTCTCACTGATATTTTTGCACAGATCAAAGTGGGGTATGCTGACTGCACATCCAGTACTTAAACTGTCACCTATACGGCACAGATACTGGTCCACAGCACTGAGTAGACATATTCACTGCAAACACAGATGCTGTGGTGGATGGCCATGAAAGAGTATTCCTGAAGGTAATTACACAGGAGCAGCAAAATTAGTGCTGGCAAGTTTGTTGTGACCTTGTTGCTTAATAAATCCTGGCAACTTCCTCACATGGAATCCAAATCCTCATCAGATAAGTCTGTGTTTCTAAGCTAGATTTCCTCACAAGAATGAAAATATGGCTGCTACGAAAGGCTTTAATAGCTTGGATATTAGAAAAACTGTTACTTGGGGACTGGTGGAAATTACTTCTTATCTGCCTCTTCTTTTGTCCTACTTGGCCCCAGGAGCACAGCTAGAAAAAAAGTTCCTTCTATGTACGACAATTGGGAAATACAAGTTACATCCTGCAGAGTTGAGTGTCAGCTGAGCTGTAAATACAACTCATGCAAAGGCCTGTTTTGTTTTGTTTTTTTTAAATCTGTTTGAGGCAGATGGGAAGTGCTGTACCAGGTGGACGAAAAAAACCTAATTCAAATCTCGCCTTTGGGGAACATCAGCTCGGCTGTCTGAAGGATACAAGTTTTACATAAATTCAGAAACCACTCAAGGGTGACTACTGATCAAATATTTCAGAGTCACAGGTAAGAAATGGCACCAAAGGCATAAGGCATAACAAATAAGCTTTTCTTGGTTTGTTTCTTTGGCCCAACCTGTGAAATCTGAATCCAGATGAACAGTTCCTTGAAAGGTAGGACCAAGCGTATTCCAGCTCAGTTAAATCTGACAGAAACAGGATAACATCAAAGCTCTGGGCTGTAATCTTCCCCATTCATCAGGATCTTTGAATCTTGGGTTTTATTTCAGTGTGGTCAGAATTTGAGCTTCATCACATCGTCCTGGATTTTCTGTTCAGTTGGTTCTTTTTGCTTACTTATTTTTTTCTTGATCCTAACAGAAGACTGTTTTCCCCCAAAATAGCTGGGGC